AGGATTCTGTAAACTGCTTCTAGGTAAGTTGCCCTTGGGGAATGCATGTGTTGACTTACCACACTTACAGCAAACGCAATGTCAGGTCTTGTATGTGAGAGGTAGATTAACTTGCCAACTAATCGCTGATATCTGTCCTTTTCAACTGGTTTTCCCATGTCTACTCATTTTCTTCCTATGTCTATAGGTGTGTCATTTGGTTTACATCCAAGCATGCCCGTTTCAATCAGGAGATCGAGAATGTACTTACGTTGTGAAACATTGATACCCTTCTCGCATCGGGCAACTTCCATTCCCAAAAAGTATCTCATCTGTCCCAGATCCTTAACTTCGAATTCTGCTGCTAAGTTTTTCTTCAGTCTCTCTAGTCCCTCTATGTTATCTCCTGTTAGTATTATGTCATCAACATATACAATGAGGATTGCTTTTGTCCCATCTTTAGATAAGTGGTAGAACATAGTATGATCTGACTGTCCTTGTTGATATCCTTGGCTCCTTAGCACCCTTGCAAACCTGTCAAACCAAGCTCTGCGTGACTGTTTGAGGCCATACAAATTATTTAGTTTACATACCTTGTTGTCTTCATACATTTCATTGAAACCTGGGGGTAACGTCATGAAGACCTCTTCTTCTAATTCTCCATTCAAGAATGCATTCTTAATGTCAAGCTGTTGAAGAGGCCAATCCAGACTCGTTGCTAAGGACAAGATAACCCTGATTGTGTTAAGTTTTACCACATGAGCAAATGTTTCTGTGTAATCAATGTCATAGATCTGTGTATATCTCTTTGCAACAAGTCGAGCTTTGTACCGTTCTATTTCCCCATCAGCCTTGTATTTCACATTAAAGACCCATTTACATTGGACAGGTTTCTTTCCTTTAGGTAACTCCACCACATCCCAAGTTTTATTTTTCTCCAGTGCTCGCATGTCTTCTAGCACTGCTTCTTTCTATTCTGGAATAGTCATGGCTTCCTGAATACTCTTTGGAATTTCTGTATTGTCAAGATTTGAGGAAAAAGTGCGAACTCCTGCAGATAGAGCATTATATGAAAC